CCTTAAACCCAATGCCTCTCCTGTTCTTGTCTTTCACTTCAGGTCTGTGGCAAACCTGTGCTTAGTCATTTAGTTTGAACAGTACTTAAAGAACTAGTTTGGAAGAGGAGGCAGAAAATGCCTAACCAACCCACCCACTCATAAATGTAGAATCTTCGTGGTTCTTCATTCCCAAATTTTTCTGGTTAGTTGGTAACATTTCAGTTCTATATTCAAACTGACGTGTGTGTGTGTGTGTGTGTGCATCATGGAGTAAGTAGTCTGGTTGCTCTATCAGTTACTCGGAGGTGTTTTAAAATCTCCAACTGTGATTGTGGATTTTTGTTAATTTCTGTCAGTTTTTGCATTTTGTATTTCAAAGCCCTTTCATTAGGCCGATATATATTTATAATTGTTCTTTATCGTATATTAATCATTTGTCATCATGAAGTTTCTTGCTTTTTCTCCATCCTTGCTTTGAAGTCCACTTTGCCTGATATTTTTATGATCATTCCAGCTTGCTTATTCTTAACTGTTTGCATGGTATGTCTTTTTTCTATCCTCTCATTTTTTATCTATTTGTATCTTTATTTTTAAAGTATCTAGTAAGAACTAAAGAGAGAAGACTGATTAAAAAGAGCAATAACCAACTCTGTTCTCCAAATTGACAATCCCTGTCCTTTGATTGAAGTGTTTAGTTTATTTCTCCTATAGTTTTTTTTTAGTTAGGATTTTGCTGATGATATCCTCAAACCATCATTAAACATTTATTTTTATCTCCCCCTTTATATTCGGAGTTAGGTCAAGAGGTCTGATCAGATTTAGTTTCATTTTGTAGTAGCAGTAGTGCTGTATATTTTATTAGGAGGCAGCTAATATCTGGTATTACCTGGATCAAAATGGTGAAACAGAGTAACTTCACCTCTATTTGGTTACTTCGAAGAACAATTCATATAGGGGTGGCTGGATAATGCTTGATTCTTATGCCAATTTTTAAAATAATGAGTTAGTTCTTATAGCATCTTCCAGAGACACCAAGGAGTTAGCTGCTTTTTTTGTTTTAAGTGTATGAATTTATGGGGCTTTCTGCTTCTTAGGTTTAACTCTAAATTTGAAATAAAGCAGCCATCCCTCACCCCTTCACCACAGGTGTCTTGCCACAAGACACTTTTATGTAAATATTATGACCTTCCCTTATTTCTTAACTCAATGTTAACTTTCTCTCAATTACTACTATTTTCCTCCATGTTTTTCCTCCCTCTCCCCCTTTCTCCCTCCTCTCCTTCCTTTCCTTCTTTAGTTTCTAATATCTTCCTCATCTATTTCACTTTAGTCACTTTCCCATGCTTCAGGGAGGGAGGGGTTCAGGACATACCCCAGTGGTCTCTGACCCTGTTTTGGAAGGCAGTGTCTGAAGCATTCGTTTTGATAGTTTTACAACTAGTTAGTCTTCTTCAGGCAGTGACAGAGGAATACATAAAAAGGAAAAGTTCAATATTGACATTAATGGGGTGACCACAATTAAGGTCAGCCACCTCACGAGCACCCAAGACATTTAGCCGGCTACGGCCAAACAGTGCTATATGTCTTTAGGAGATTATTTAGCAAGAAAACCTACTCAGAACTAAGATCTTTCCAATTGTACTTTTACTATAATTTTTTATTACTAAGTAAAAGATCATTCTTAGTCTATTTGCTGTAATTCATCTGTATAAAAACATTACACTAACTTCTGATTTTGTTTTTCCTTCAAGAAAAAGTTTAACGAAATACATGTTTTTCCCCATCTAAGTGAGAAAGGAAAAACATGCCAGGTGACTCTCCAAGAAAGCCCTGAGGGAATGAGTCAGAATAGCTTGATGCACACTTCTGCCTTTAGAGACTTCTCTTGATATTGTGTAAATCCATAAGGTTTCATTAATGCAAGTATTTTGATTTGTCTGTGTATTTTTTTCAATCTGGTTTTGATGATAACATCTGTGTCTGGGATACTTAAAAATTAAAACCATATGATACATGTAAGATATCGATGCCAGAAAATGGAGAGATGCAAATGGGTTCCCATTTCTATGGCCTCCTACCTAACCTGGGGATAGGGTTCTGAGTGGTAGTTTAACTCAGGGAGGGTCATGAGAGGCAACTGCGTTGGGGTGAATTATGAAAGAGAACTGCTTAGCCATGCAGTGGCAATTTGCAGCGGAAAATGTAGGCTGGCACTTGACATTGTTCTATGAGAAGATGATCATTGGGACTTTGGCTAATTTTATCCCTATGGAGTGAATTCTGCTTTTGCTGGTCTTAAAAACTGTAGGGTAATTTCAGAATCCAGCTGTATTTGAGAATCTGATGCCTCATTTGATCTGAGATTTTTAATGACTCAGCTGGTCAAACTTCTAGATTAGGTCTAGACTCATTTTTGTTTGATAAGATATGGTAGCAGGATACCCCTTGACTCCTTGAGCCTAGTCTCAGTCACTCCAGGGTAGCCAGTGTTAGAGAAGTCCCCAAAGCAGAATCAGATAGAGTATATGAATGACCCCTTCTTGTATTCATCATTCATTCATTTATTTAACAATTGAACATCAACTATTCTAAGGGTGGTGATACAACGGTCAACAAAGATAAATGTAGGTAGGGCCTGCTTAGATGGTGCTGGTAGTGAGTGAGGTGAGCTGGCTCCAAGCACCTGGGCAGGCCAGGAGCTAAGAGGGGCAGAAGGGCAATGAATGCTTTACAAACTTGTTTTATTTGCATACCTCCCTACCAGTTTTGAAAAACTCATGATAGCTCGATGGACTTTTTGAAAAATATATATGAAATCATCACCATTACATTTAAATAGTTTCAAAAGATACCTTTTATCATGTATTAAAAATGTTGACATTTAAAATTAGCATAATTGTTCTTTGAAAGATATCTAGTGAAATCTAGGTACAATACAGACTTGATAGCCACCATTTTCCATATTTAAAAATAACAAGCTTTTTAACACATATTTTATCACTACTTTTGCTCTACTTATCCCATATAATTTTATCCTAATGCTATTTGTTCTGCTTAAAAGTCTTATTGATCACCTTATCAAACACTTCTCAGCAGTCACACATATATATATAAAATATACATATATATATTATATTGATGTATAAGCTATATGTTCTTTCTGTTCCATAAGGCTCTAAGAGTTTAATGACCAAATGGCATGTATATTAGAAATTCTACTTGAACATCTTATTTGAAATACCTTTTTTAATGAAATGAATAGGTGCAGTGTTTACAATGACTTGGTTAAAGAAATTGATTGTCTAAATGTTTCTTTGGTGGGCAAGATTTTAATACTCTGCAGTAATACCTCATGTTAAGAACTGTGAAGGGTCTGAGATTGTATGAGTTAGTCTGCCACAGTTAGATGGATGCTGTCAGAAGACACAAGACAGTTATCATGGCAATAGCAGTAGCCACAATATCATCATTTTTGCATTGGTTTCCTGAGCCCTAGTTCCCTCCAGGCCAATAGGATGGGTGCAGATGGATGTCTGCTCATGCAATAGACTGTATTCCAGGAGAGGAATTCTGATCTTGGGAAAGCTAAATGTTTTATAATGGTGAGTAAGCATGCCTTCCGTTTGCTCATGGGAGATATTATTATTCTGGACAGTAACTTTCCTAGGGCTGCTCTAACAAAATATCACAAATTGAGTACTTAAAACAACAGAAATTTATTGTCTCTCAGTTCTGGAGTCTAGAAGTATGAAATTGTGGTGTTGGTAGGGCCATTTTCTTTCTGAAACATGTAGGGGAAGCTTCCTAGCTTCTGGTGGTTTGCTGAGAATGTTTGGTATTCTTTGGCTTACAACTTTATAACTCCACTCTCTGCCTTTGTCGTCACATGGTGTTCTCTCTGTGTCTGTCTTCACATGGCTATCTTATAAGGACACCAGTCATATTAACTAAGTACTGTGCAACAACCCTATTTCCAAATAAAGTCACAGTACTGAGGATTAGGACTTCAATATCTTTTGTGGCAATGAGATGTAATTCAACTCATAACAGTAAACATGTCTGCTCTTTGCTCCAGATAGAGGGAGACACTGTGCTCCAAGGATGCTTATGAGGATACAAACATCCTTGAAAACCAGTCTGGAACTAAGGTCATTTGGTGCCTCGCTCTTAAGACCTGGAGAAACATGAGAAACCCTTAGAAAATTGTCTCCTAATATATCATGTAAACTTATAGGTGAGAAGTGAATTTGCTTTTATGTGGCAGAAGAGTAGATATGAAAGGAGAAGGTAGAAAGAAGTAGCTTAACTTGCTAAAGTCACCTTCACAGAGATTCAGCTTTGGGAAGGAGTTCATACAGAAGTTGAGAGTCTAAAATCAATTAAAATGGTCCCTATTCTCGTACCTCTGGGAAATATGAACATACCCCAGAT